ACTTGCAGTTTTGGAGGCTGGAAGAGCATGGTGTTGGTATTTGGTGAGAGCCTTCTTGCTGCATCAAAACATGGGTGGATAGCAGCACATGGTGCAAAAGGAAACCTGCTAGCTCAGATTTCTTTTCCTCTTATAAAGTCACTAATGCTATCATGGGGCCCCTCATCTAATCTTCATTACCTCCAAAAGGCCCTACTTCCACTGTTAACATATGAATTAGAGGATTAAGTTTGCAACACATGAACTTTTGGGGAACATATTCAAACCATAACAACAATGATCCTATCACCAATCATTTGGTTGTTGCAAACTATTTCTTCCAGATTGGGCACACTTGATGGACACCTCACTGCCTGGAGGAGCTGTTATCTTTCACTGGGAAGCATTTACTTTTGAGTCAGTTTGAAATTTAGAGCCCACTGTTTTCAGTGTTATGTGGTTAGGTCATGAAGCTAGCCCCTTTGTTTAACTCATCACTAAATTATAAGGCTGATTTTAGCATCCACTTACTATATAATTGGATGTACTTGCCTCACCTACCTTGGGCTGGTGCAGTAAGAATGGACTCCTTAGGTAGAGGGCCCCATAGGTCATCCACTGGGGAAAAGAGGGGATAGTCCTAGAAGTCACAACTGCAGAAGCAGGGTCGGGGTTAGAAATGAGGAGTTAATTAAAATCAGCCTTCGAAGATCATCAGGCTACCTTATTTTCATGTGCATTATTCATATGTTTTAGTAGTTCTCAGTGCAGTGTGCTTCGTGATATATTAGATATTCAATGTAGTTGTTTTCAGGTTTATTATGCAATATTCTTATTATGATTCATGAAAATATTCCATTAAATTGCTCATATAATTACTGTGCTTAATCTACAACATACTTTAGTTAATGTTGCATAGAATTCTGATTTAACCAATTAGATTTGATCAAGTATAACTTAACTGCAAATACTTCCTATGATGAACAGGTCCAAAATAATTATTGAGAGCTAAGGTAGCAGTCAACTCTAACTAAAACTAACAAATTTCCTGTTAAGAAGAGCACATAATAATTTCAACTATAATTTTATCATTTAGAAAGCTAAATTATAAGGAGTAGCTTGTTCTGTTTCTATTAGTAGCCTGTTAAAAAATCTGATTGGGCATGTGAAAACTCAAAAAAATATGTTTCATATACCTCAGAATGTGACTCTGGTTGGAAATAGGTTTGTTACAGATGTAATTAGTTAGAATTATGCCATAGTGAAGTAAGGTGGGACCCTGATCCAGCATAACTGCTACCTTTATAAGAAGCTGGCCATATAAAGACTGAGACACAATGCCATTGGAGACCAGGCAGAAATTGGAGTTATGCAATGGCAAGTGAAGAAATACCAAAGATTTCTGACAAAGCACCAGAAGCTAGAAAGAGGCAGAGAAGGATTCCTCTAAACATTTCAGAAGGAGCATGGCTCTGCTGACATTTTGATGTTGGACTTCTAGTCTGCAAAACTGTGTGACAATAGATTCCTCTTGTTTTAAGCTACCCAATTCGTGGTCCTTTATTTGACAGCCGTAAGAAACTGAACCCTTGATAAATCTGATTAAGTTGAGAATTAAAGCTCAATATAGCCAGAATCCATGAAATTACTTTTATAATAGTGGGGGGAAACATATCTTGCTAAACTATTTTAAAAAATGCATGTACTATTTTGAGTTGAAGAAAATTTTATATTCTGAAGTATTGACATAAACATAACACTTCTGATCCTCACACACAGCACCTAGAAGAGTGCCTCAAACACATATCATCCCACAGTACATTTTGTGGCTTAGTTTAAAAAGATTTAAAAATGAAAATATCCTATAAATATTAAAATGCCCACTTATAGAACTTGAGCCATAAAATGTATATATACAGTGCTACTGAAATATGAGTGTAATCACTGAAAAGAATTTGCATGAGGTTCATGAAGGCGAAAATTTTATCTCAAATAATAAACTATATTCCATGAAGTTTGTATATTATTCAAATTCTATATTTTGTTACCCTTATTTTGATTTTGAAAAAAAAAATAAAAAACACTCTTAGCACCTATGCTATGGGAGATAGGGAAGGACAAATAAAATAAATTTTAGTTCTGGGGGTAGGAAAGATGGTGGAATGAGACAGACATCATTACCCTAGGTACATATATAATTGCATGAATGTTGTGTCTCTACTTTGGGTACAATCAGAGAAATCAAAAGTTGTGTTCCATTTGTGTACAATGAATCAAAGGGCATTCTGCGGTCAAGTATAACTGATTAGAATAAATAAATAAATAAAATTAAAAAAACAATAGGGTTTAATAAGGATGGAGGTGAGTAATGTACTGACAGAAGAACTTGGAGAGTTATCTATAAATTCTTTGGCTTTTTTCCACCCTGAATACCCAAAAGTTGACTTTTATTTGGTTGTCACAGGGGTGATGTTTGATGGAAAGTCATCAATAGACACCAGCAAAGAATCTGATACAGGTTGCTAACAAACTAGGAACTGTGACATGCTCCTGGCCAAAGTGAAAAGTTTCCTGGCATTGAGAATCCATGAAAGTCACCAGATGACACCAGCTGGTTGATATGCATCTTGTCACATCCTTTGAGAAATAGCATCTTTCCATTCTTGGGAATTTTTAAAAGCCTCCAGCCCTCTGATTTTTGTGGACATTTTGACTTGCCTAGTCTACTGGCAAAAATAAGTATTATAGTACCCACTACCTCCTGACCATTTCTGAATGCATATTACTAGATGGGGTCAAGTGAAGTTTAAATTCTCAGGTGTACTGTTCTTTGGCAGGACCAAGCCTCTGAGATCCATTTCTGCAAATATATCACTGTTACTACAAAATAAATAATAAATAAATTAGGTTGGCAAAACATAGACAAACTAAATATTTTCTGATTGTTTATAATATTTTGGTTTTTGTGCTAGATACTCCTGTACAATCTCATTTAATATTTAAAAAAATTTTAATTTTGGTATTATTGTTATAGAAACAATGTGCATATATTTTACAAACATCAAAAAGATCATTTGGTGAGTAATTAAAAATTTGTTTTTCTAAAATTTTCATTTTTCTTTAAAAGGGATATGCTCTTTAGTATGTGTATTTCCTAATTGAAAGGCTTATGTTAAAATAATAGTTCTCCGTTCTCTCTTCTCACTCCCAATTCTCTTTCATTAGGCCCGAAATTTTTGATCTTTTTAGTTCTTTCCTTTCACATTTACTTCCTTATTTCTAAGGTACATTCTTATACAGATATTTCTTGATTTTTCAGCTTTCGAGATTGATTTCCTTCCATGGAAGACAAAGATTTAGCTTTCCTATATAACCTCCTGTCACATGCACTTCATTCTTCCTATCTTTCCTGTACATTTATAACATTATTTTGACTGTGTAAGTATTATTTATAGCTAAGATACATAGCATTACTAGGATTCCATATCTTCTCATATATAATTCTTTATTTTCACCAGTTAAAAACATTTCTTTTGTTTGCTTGGTTTTCTGTGCTTTTATTAGGAATTAATTGCTCAGTTCTCTATGTAAATAAAAATTGCCTCTGAGCATATTTTTCTCCCCATTTCACATTTTATCTTCATATTCACAAAAGTATTTAGTCCTCCTCCTTCTACTCCAAGTTGTTCTAGGCATCTTTTCCTTCATAATCATCTTGATATTTTTCCCCATTCCTTTCTCCTGGCTGTATTCACCCTATTCTTGGATTCTACATCTTTCTCTTGGTTTGCTCTTTCTTTGTGATAGAGCATATCCTCTAGGAGTTTCCTGAGAAGGTTAATTATAAAAGACCTCACTTATCCTACAGCCTACCTTCATTTTCCATCAATAGTTTCCTTGGGTATAGATTTGTATGTATGACTTTTTTCTCAGAACTCTGAAGGCATTTTTCTATCATCATCAAGTTTTGGTGGTGCTTCAAGTTTGGTGGTGCTACTCAAGTCCTCATTCCTTTGTCTGGGGTCTCTTTCTTCCCTCTGGAAGTTTTTAGGCCTATTCCTTTATCCTGGTGGTGTTCATGATACATCTTGGTCAGATAAATCCTCTAAGAGGATTTGCATTTGCTTTTACCAAATGCTTATGCGTATTACCATTCTGGGATTAATCTGCATTAAATTCTTGGCTAGTGGTTTATCAGACTATTTACAAAGTCTGAATCTGGGCCATGAACCTGTGTGAAGGCTGATGTATGGTTCCAAATTCTCAGTGGTGATTTCCCTTGACTCCACTCTTGCCAAAATTTGAAATGGTCAGTTTTCTCTGGGGTCCATTAAAAGGAATATGAAGTACTTTTCTGACATGGAAGGTACAACCCATAGTTCTGGTAGGAAAAGAACATATTCAAGTTCCCAACTTGAAGTGCATTTGGGCTTTGTTCATTCCTCAAAATGCTGAATATCAAGAGTCTGTACTCAGCTGGTTTGACAAATGCTTTTAGGATAACATTGTACCGCTTACTTTTCTAGGTTTCTATCTTCACTCAATGCCTGGCCTGAGATTTCCTTGCTTTATAGTAGGATGATTGTAAGATGATTTAAAAAATTGAATTTTGTCCATAAATTTTAGTTATTTCCAGCAGTCCAGATACTGTTCCTGTCTTCTTCTTAGAAATGAAAGGCTATGTTACCTTTCTAAGCCTTGATTTCCTTATCTGAAATAGGTATTGTGAGAAATGAAATTGTTAGTGTAAAGATCCTAACTCTGTGTCTGACACCTCAATGAATATTTATTCTATTTTTTTTTGAGTGGCATTCTCAGAGTCTCAACATAAGTTGCTTTATTTTGCTGTGTTTTTATAGATATATGGTACACTAATACCAGGTGAAGAGAAAGCAAATAATCTAAGGTTTTGAAAGATTGTGTGTTTGGTATATTAAAAAAATTGTGTGTTCTTTCCATTTTAAAAATTTCTATTTCAAATGAGAAACAAGTAATTAAATATCATTATTAAACTAGGTCTTATGAGGGCCTGACATTTATTGAAGCTAAAGCCATGATTTATTTGTACATTTCTTGAGACAAAGGAATTTGAAAACATTCCCTGTAATCAAGACATAAAATGGATGCTTTTTCTTTTGCAATACTGGGGATTGAACCCAGAGTCTCACACATGCTAAGCAAGTGCTCTATCACTGAGATATACTCTCCATCCTTTTTAAGAAAAATTTATTTTGAAACAGATCTTGCTAAGTTTCCCAGCTAGCCTTGAATTTGCAATCCTCCTGCCTCAGCCTCCTTAGTAGCTGGGATTACAAGTATGCACCACCATGCCCAGCTAGATGCTTTTTCTTATAACAAGCTAGGCTATGCCCTAAATTTTACCATTTTGTATTATTACAAAGTATCAAATTGCACTAAGAAAATCCTTTTAAAGTCCATAGTTATGTTCATTCTAAAAGGTTGCCCTTCTCTTTAAAAACAATTTCAACCCAGTGCCAAGCAGCCTTTGGTGAAAATCAGCTCTCTCTTTGGTTGTTGACCTGACCCTGGAGTCCTATCAGGGACACTTTTTTAGCAGGTGCATTGTGATATTCTTCACAGCCAGCATGGTCTCTGTACAAGTAGGTCTGATGAGCATCTCTGGGAGTAAAAATCCAAAATGCCCAGTGTCACGTAGTTCAAAGGCAAATGCATAGGGTATTCCATTTTTGTAAGCCCAATCCATTGAGCTACCAGAACTTACATCTGAAAGTTTAAAAAAAGAAAAGATTATCCTCACTAAAGAATCTGCATAATTTCAAAATTATATATATATATATATATTGCTTAGTAAGATATACTAAATCCTTCCAATGAAATACCATTTCTATGAGAATGATTTAACAGTAGTTCTTTGGCATCCAGCTCATGGAGCTTATAAATCATACCTGCTATCAGCTTTGAAGATCTAACCTGAGTATTAATGCTATGCCAGTATGATGACCTCAAAATTTCTCAACCTCAATTCCAATAATGTTTATCTTCACCTTCACTTTATTCACCAATAAAACAACCTACGCTGTGGACTTTTAAAAAAATATTAAAATTAAAATATTTTTGTTCTTATCACTCAATTCTTCTCTACTTCCAAGGTCTTGAATATTAAAATTCTGTTCCCCTCTTTCATTTCTTCCACTTCCCCTCTTTTTCCAGGCTTGCTGAACTTGTCCCTTGTCTTTACATAAGCTTGTAGTTTTCAGATTCTCCCTGCCTTTCTTGTGGTTTCCATTCAGGGGCAATTTACTAGCTTTCTCACCAGACCCCTCATATGCCTCCTTCCTGTATTTTTTCTGCCTTTGCTTTGCTGTTGTTGAACTTCTGGCCCAGTTCCCCTGCTGTCACTCCAGGTAGGGCAGTGAGATGATTCATCTTTGATGAACAGGTATTCTATAAAATCATACTGCCTGATCACCAAAGTCGTCTTCTGCTCCCAGTGCTGCTCTGTGCTGTTTTTTCATAGTCCTGCACTTACTGGCACTCCCCATTCTCTTCTTGTCCCACCCATCACTTTACCACTGACCCCCATATTCTAGATGATGGCTCCATTGGCTCCTCTGTTGACCTCAGAGCCCTCTAAGCTTTCTCTTAGCTCAGAGAAAGTCATGCTAAATATCTTTTACATGGGTCATCTCTTGATACCATTTATTATTATTGTCTGTATAAAGGGAGGATCCCTTTGTTTCATTCACACATTTTCTTTCTCTTGCATCTGCATCAACCCAAATAAATGCTCAAGGACCCCTTTCTTCTCATGATCCTGCTATATACTCTTGGTTACCATCCTCTTTTTCTTCTTCTTCTTTTTTTTTTTTTGTGCTTGATAACTTAAAAGAAAATCTATATATGTTGCGTCTAATCCTTATATCTTTCTTGCTGGTTCTTGCTGGTTCTTGCTTCTATCCACCTATAAAACTTCATTTATTTTTTAAACTTTTATTTATTTTTATGTGGTGTTGAGGATCAAACCCAGAGCCCCACACATTTAAGGCAGGCGTTCTACCCCTGAGCCACAACCCCAGCTCCCAAACTTTATTCTTGAAGGGTGATCATGTCCACATGTTTATTCTCCTTTTTTGGTTTTTGTTTTCCCCTTAACATAGCTGACAATCCATCCTGGCATCCCTCTCCTTCTAGTTCCTATGACCTCACACATTCCACCTTTTTAGTACGGACTGGAAACACAGGCACTAAAGAGAAGACCACCAACCTGCACTGTGTCCAGTCCTACTACCTACCTTGTGATTACTCTGTGCCTCAGGTGCCTTTTAGAAAAAGGGAATGATGCTAATGTCTGCTACTTAAGGTTGATGTGGTAATTAAATGAAATACTAAATCACTTGAAAGTGCTTATGAAATATTAGCTATTATTATTTTACATCTTTACATCCCAGTGCCTAATACATAGTGTTTAGTCCAATAGACTCTTCAATAATCATTTATTAAATTAAAAAATGTTTTATGGAAAAATATTCATATACTTTTTTCCTGAAATACATATGATTCAGTTTGCCATAACACTATTATTATTATCATCAAATTTCCAAAACATGTTCATTTACTCAAACAGCATTACATTTATGCTATTTTTCTCAGGACAAGTGAGGATGAAATCATTATGTGAAGATGACAACTAAATGGATCGGCTATTTCTCAAATTCCTTGTGCTTCTATCAAGGACAGAAGATAAACTGTGGCTTTAGTGTCCTCTGGTTAGAGTACATTGGAACTACAAACAGTAGTCATATTAGCCAAAGTCAGAGACAATATGTGCCAACAGTTACATCATGGTGATGTGACAGCCTCATTTCTATGGCAACAGATTGTTCTTGGTAAATATAACACTATGACTGTGCCTTTATTCCAAGCTGACAAGGTGAACTGTTAATAAGATTTGTTTTAAAAAATTAATGTTTTAATTATGTTATTATATGTATTATGTTGATATTAGTTGGTAATGTGAATTTTAAAAAAATATTATTTTCCCCCTTTCAGGATAATGATTGGAAAACACTTATAAAATGATCTCAAAAAAATCTATTAATGCTTGTGTCATTGTTAGGACAAGCGTATTTGATAAGCAATGCTAATTGACAAACCAAGCTGTTGTTCTGAAGGCTGAAGAAACCGAGGGGCAAGATGTTAACGACGGGCAGATTAAAAGACATCAAGAAGAGCATTTTTTCATGTACTTGTTGATTGATTGTATGTCCTCCTCTGAGAAGTGTCTGTTCAGAAATTTGCTGCCTTACTGAGGAGCATCACCAAATGCTACTATCTGTACACATCCCTACTGCATGTGTTTGCCATCATAGGCACACGAAGACATTCAGCTCTATGTGATTCTCATCTGTCATAGAGTCAATAAATTTTAGAATTTGAAAGGCCATGAGAAATGATCTAGTCTCATTCTTCATGTTACTGTTGTAGAAGCTGAAGCCCAGCATTAATAAATATCTTGGCCAGGATGACACACCTGGAAGATTTAGGACTAGAATCCACATCTTACAGTTCTTTGTTCTGGTTCTTCCCATATACTCGGTTGCTTTTTGCTTCATAGAAGAGAGGAAATACTTTAAAATCACTTTTAAAAGGAGAATTCAGCTAAGATGCTATATAGGAAATAGTATTTCAGAACAAGAATAGTGAAGGAAACGAAAAAAGGGGAAACTGTTGTAAGCTGGAATTCTTACTTCATTATCTTCATGAGGCCCATTTCCACCCTTACGGTAGTCGTAATTGCTTAAGGAGCCCGTTTTGGTACTTTCTACTATCATAAGATCTCAATTCAACTTGCAGTCATTACTGCATGTTTAGCATATTCTCTGCTTAGGATTTGTTTAAATTGGTACAGCGATTTCTGTCAAGCTGTGTAAAACTAATCAGATATAAACTCTCTCCATTTTCCTTGGCTAATTTGATAGTCACAAATTTCACTCTAGAGAGAATACACTCTCTGCTTTTTAAAGAGAAGTCATGATTCAGGATATTGGTTCAAGAGAGGTGATTTTAATACAAGTACACAGGAAACTTACACAATGTTCTGGAGGCAGGCCCATATCTGTACCGTACTCCATATACTGATCGAAGTGCTTTCACTGCTTTATAAGCTGCAGATTCCTAGGAGGGGAAATGAAGAAGTTATAACACTTACATTGTTACACTGAAACTTCTAGAAACACTGGCATGTTTCTTAAGGCTTCTGGGCCACCAACACAAAGAATAACGATGGGTACATCAGTTATTATTAATATTTAATAATATTATATTGTTCATGTCACAAGATACATGTCACAAGATACATTTGCAACATATTTTAGAACACATCATTTCACCTGATTGATTTCACAACCAACTAGAGATCGATAGTATTTCTATTTTACAGATGAGAAAAGGAAGGCTCAGTGAAATTACACGTGTAAGCTAAAGTTACATAGCAAGTGGAGCTAGGATAAGTACCCATATTTTCTGAGCTGATGTAGTGTCCTTTCCTCTTCCCTTTTGTTCAGGGACATCTCTTCCTATAAATTACAAAATGTTTGACAGAGGAAGGATAATGTCAGTCTTAATCATAGATCATATCTGATCCTTCACAATGTGCTTGTGTATAACAGATGCTTAATCAATATTTCTCATATGAATGTTGAATAAGCATAAGTCTGCAAGAGTATTTAGACAACTATATTGATTCTTAAGCATATATTTCAGTGGATATGTACAAGGTATTTAAAGCACATCTGGATCAATTAGGAAACCATCAAGCAAGAAAGACCTCTCTTACGCGATGTGTTTATCCTTACTGGGATGAGAACATCAATTTCAGAGTGCTTCATGACTTCTAAGGTTACTCAGACTCTCACAGGCTTAGTCAGGTACTGCTATGATGCAGAAATTCTAAGGTGGAACTCTTCCTAGTCGGGAAAAAATACTCAACCCAATCAAAATCCTAAAAGGTGGATATTCAAACACAAGTGAGACTGATATTGAATGTCCTTGAAAACATTTTCAAATGGTATAAAAGCACTAATTTCAACCAGGAGTTAGGAAAGTATTGTATGACAAGTGAGAGGAAAAGAAGCATGTTGAAACCAGTACAAAACTCTCCTGTTTCAATTTGCCTATGAATAATTTAATATTTTAATTGAAGAACTCTGGATAACATGGTGGTGTGTTTTGGACTGAGCTTCAGGTTGCTGTCCTCATTCAGCTCAGGGATGAATAAAGCAGTATTTGCAGTAAATGCCACCCTTTGTGGATATTCAGGGACCAGGCTTCAGGAGCTGGCAGACTATATATTATTGATCTCACTGATGATGACATTCTTCTCATAGGAGCCAACAGAAAAGGAATGCAAACACCATAATGAGGTATCTTTATGGAGAATGTTCTAAGATTTTAACATCTCCAGTGATCTTAGCAATATTCCATGGCAAGAGCAGATATTTTTACATTTAGAAAATTACTGCATTTTCCTGGTCAGGAGACTTTTGTTCCTCATTATTTCAGATGACTAAACCCATGGAAAACATCTATTACAGAAAGAGAGAGAGAGAGAGAGAGAGAGAGAGAGAGAGAGAGAGAGAGCGAGCGAGAGCGCCACTTTGTATACACAAAGCTTATGTATGGTATTAAAATTTGACTCAATGTATTTCTGTCATTTGAGTACAGGTGCAAGTTGATTAGGGGTTTGGATATGCTCTATCTACAAAAAGTGGAAATTTCATCAATTTTTCCCCAAGAATTATTTTTCAGGGAGGCACAGCTAGATACCTATTTGAAAGAATAAAGTGATTCCTTCTTTCTCTTCTCTCTGATTGTCCAAAAGGACCTCAGTCTTGCTTATTGGTCCTCAGCTAAGTAAGGAGTATATATATTTTTCAAATATTTCCATATTTAAAGCAACTTGATGAATGTGTTAAAAATATTATCAGAAACAAAGACTCAGACGGATAAAATGTTTTGAACAATTTTGATAAAATTTAATGGCTTCTGGTTAATATACAGGGATTGCCTAGTTTGAGAATTTTTAATCTTAGTTTTAGTGATTTAGGTTATATTTAACTGCCTCAAGGATTTCTCAACAATAGCACTATTGATTTTTGGGCTGAATAAATCTTTGCTGTGGGGGGCTGTAGGATGTTTGGCAGGCAGTATCTTGGCCTCAACCCACCAGATGCCAAATTGCATCTTCCATTGCTGTAACAATGAAAAATATCTCCAGACATTGCTGAACATCCATTGGGAGGCAGATGCATCCTTTGTTGAAAACCATTGATCTATTCTATGCCACATCCACCAATTCAAGACAAAACTAAAATAGGCTAAACTCATGATAAGAAGTTACATTTAAAATATTGATAATATTTCTCATCTCATAATTTTTATATTTTGCATAGTCCACATCATCTGTTATAAGAATATAGACACTGTGCTCAAAAAGGGCTAAACATAATATACAAATGGTTGTTTGGGAGCCAGGTCAGTATAAACAAAGGTGTAGCAGCAGCAATAACAAAAAGAAAGACTATTTGACCCACAGAGCAGCTGAAGAATAGTACTATAGAGTACAATTATTATCCTTACAATATTTCTAAACAGAAGTAATTTGCTCAGAATTCTTGGAATGCCAAGAACAAAATTGCCTTTTGACAGAATAAAAGGTTTCCCTTGCTCTCTTCTGGCCTCTCAGGTCCCCTACTCCTTCTAGGGCTTGGACATCTATATCAGGAATTCCTGAAACTCCAAGCAGTTTGTATAGTATTTGAAGTTTAAGGTATAAGGAAAAAGGAAATGCTTATCTTTCATAAAACTTTTCATTCAAGTATATATATGAAAGTAACACAATAAAAATCATTTGGTCTTTGTCCCTGGTTCCTGACATACAGCTCCTAAAACCCTTGGTGTCCAGAATGATAAGAGTGTCCTTTACATACCAGTGAGATGATTGGTGGCTGAGCCCCCCAGAAAATTTCAGGTTAGGGGCTAGTACCAGAAAGCCAAACCATGCAACCAGAGTGTTGGCAATTTCAACTATATTTCCTAACCTCTGAAGAAGGGAGAATGTCCAGAAACTGAGTTCAACCACCAATGTGCCTATGTAATGAAATCCCATAAAGTTCCCTATAAAATGGGAGAACTGATTCAAGGTTGGTGAGAACATTGGAGAGCTAATAAGGTGGTGCCCTGAGGAGCTAAGGAAGCTCTGTGACTCCCTGCCTCTATCCTACACCTTGTCTTATGCATCTCTTCCATGTGTCCTTCCTGAACTGTGCATGTTATAATAAACTGGCAATAGTAAAGCACTTTCTTGAGCTCTGCGAGTCCTTCTAGTGAATTATCAAAACCAAGGAGGAGGTGGTGGGAACCTGGAGCTCTTTAGCCAAGTTGAACAGAAGTGTGAATAAGTTGAATACCTACTGCTTGTAGCTGGTGTCTGAAGTGGGAATAGTCTTGTGGGACTGAGTCCTTAACCTGTGGAGTCTGATGCTAATCCTGGGAGGTAGGTGTCAGAACTGAATCAAACTGGACACTCAGTTGGAGAAGTGATGTTGGAAAAGACACCACACATTTGGTGTCAGGAGTTAAAACCCCTCAAACATACATAGTGAAGAATACACAGATTTTAATTTCATAGCACAACAAGTGATCCCAAATTGAATACATTCCTGTAACCACCATCTCAGGTCAAAGAATAGACCATAAGCATTTAACCAGGCAACCCCTGTGTCTCCTCTCAATCACTGAACCCCTCCCCCTTCCCCAAAGGTCATTGCTATCCTGAATTCTAACACTATTTATTAGTTTTTCTTGGTTTTGAACATTATAGACCTTTAGATGCTACAGGGTCTAAAATGAACTCATTTTACAATGTATTATGTCCTGTAGGGGATCGTCTGTTGGGTTTCTGAGATAAGGAGTAAGAGAATGCTGCTTTTTCATTTTCAAGTAATCTTATGCCTGAAAGTCTGTTCATTCTTAGTACTAACTTGTCATATGCATGCCCAGAGACTTAGTAGCATTAAGCAAATAGCACTTATAAATTAAAACTTGCTTTTAATTAATGAGAGTCAGACTATAATTTATGAACAATTATTGACTCAATAAAGTTAATTACAGCCCTGCATATGTGACCAAAGCTGTAATACTAATCAAATCCATCCTGACCTTTTCAGTATAGCCTGTGGTAAGAATGTAAATAGGCTTGAAATGACTGCATTTGAGAAGCAGTATGGTGGTTAAAAACAACAACTCTGAAGCTAGACTTGGGCTGAATGCTGACTATGATGTTTAGTAACTATGTATTCTTAGTGTAATTATTTAACCTCTCTGGGTTTCAGTTTTCTTATCTGTAAAAATTGGGATAAGAAATGTTATGAAGAATAAATGAGTTATTATATGAAACAAATAGTTTAGAATAAACACAATATATGTTTGCTATTACCAATAGCACTTAGCATCAGAAAGGAAGCATGAAGTCTGACACATTTATAAAGGGTCAAATACTTACCACACAGTTAAAATTGGGGATTGTTGCGTATTTGTAAGAATAGGGATACAACAACATCTGAGCATATGCATGAAAGGAGAGGTAAGCCCGAATGTGCTTTCTGTGTTTTCGGAGGAAGTTAGCTACAGCCTTCACTTCTGGCTCAGATTCTGGGAAAGGGCCACAGTAGGTATCGTCACAAGGGTGCATAGAGGCCCCTTCATCTGCAAGTCAGAAAAGAAAATGGGATGGGGGGAGCAGGCAGGGAAGAAGCAAGAAACACAAATCAGCATTGTTAAACTGTGATTTTTTTAAAATTTATTTTTTATAAACATATGGTGTTATTAAGCAATTTTTCTAATTTCTTATTTATAGAAATCAATGCTGAAAATTCTGAGGTGATTCAAGCCTCCATGACAAAGGAGGGTCTGAGTGGGAACCAAGTGATGATTGCTAACTAAACCTGCAATAACTACTTTTAAAGAGATGGCTGTCTATGTTTTCAGGAGGACTAATTCTATATAACCCCCAGAGAAGGCCTACTATTAAGATATGCTTCACAACACCTGGACCTTTTTTTTCCCATAATATTCAACACACATGTAATTAGTGTTCATCATTTACTCATTTAACATTCAATTGATGTTTACACTATCATAGATATACCTGGGATACATTATAAGCAACACAGAAAAAAAAAATCCCTGCTTTCATTGAACCTGTATTCTATCTAGATTCTTGCTGGATGCTAATGCTTTTTGAAGGCAGGCACTGTGTCTTTCTTGCTGGCACCTAGCAGCAAGAACAATAACATGAAAAGTGTTCTACAAATACTTGTTGAATAAGTCAATGTCAGATCAAAAGGATAGACATCTATAAAAGTGTCCAAACAAATATTGATATAGCAAGAACATGAAGGCCAGCCAGAAATAATTCTGAAGAACATATGTCTAATTTCTACCATATTTTTAGATCAGTAATCTCCAAATTGGTTTATAAAACCTAAGAGGCTTCTCTAGTTATCTCGTAGTTTAGAAATATTTAAAACTACATTTAATGATAGTTAAATTAGAAAAAGCCTTCCAAATAGGGGAAAACTTACTAACAGTTTTATGGAGGGGACAGAGGAAAATAAGAATCACTTTAGTAATGACCAAGCATTATGGTTCTAAGAAATTTTGGAAATGACATTTTCTGTAGTTATTTGCCATTCTGGGCCATTACTATGTCTCCTCTACCTCTAGAAAATAATAACTCTCTTCATAAACTAACAGAAAATTCTTGGTGGTTCTGTAAGATGGTCCAGTTCTATTGAATGTGAGAAGAAAAGCAAGACAAATTGGCTGGATCTTGAAGACACGAAGAGTGATTCAATTGGAGAAAACGGTGGAGAGAACTAGGCAGCCCATTTGACTCCTCTGAAGTCTATAATTGAAGCCGTGAGAGGACAGCTGATTAGAGTTCATCAGTGAGGTGAGTGACAGAAGGAATGTGCCCAGACACAATACCGGACAGTCAGAGACTTGGAGGGACTTGGAAATTCTGGAAACTGGGACAGAAAATAGGAAAGAATTTGTTAACCTCAAATCCTGACCAGAGTGGGCTGAAGGGAGGGGTTACAGAGAAAAAGAGGGAGAGGCCAAGTTGGCATGCTAACTTCAGAAACAGGAGAAAAGAAAGCCAGATCAAATTAAGTCAGAGCAGGAGCTGAAAAGCCATTTAGTGAGTGAGACGTGCACAGCTTATCTCAAATTGCTGGTGGAAAACGGTGCTGGGCAGCCATCCTGTAGAGACCACACCTAAGACTGCCCTCTTAGAAGGAATTAAATCTATACAGCTTCATCCCATTTACAGATGGCAGCGAATATTATCATAGGCAGTACCTTTGAAATGGTTGTCTCAGTCATCTGTAGAGGGATCGCTGCTAGCTGAAGGTTGCCAAGCCCCATTCTCCCACTCCAGACAAGAGGAGGAGGGTGGAGCAGAACAGAGAGTCACTCTAAAGGTATGTAGCACCATGGGAGCAGCAAGTGCCGCAGCTGCTGGCCAGAGATCCACAAGGTGCAGCAAATCTACCTGGATCACAATAGTGCCAGGTGCCCCACAGATGCTGGCCTCTGCCAAGTATGCCCAGACCTGGGCCCCATAACAGTGTGTCCTGTCAGCTGAAAAAGCCATGAAACCCCCAGTATCCAGCAGAAACCTCCTACTATAGCCTTGGCAGTGCAACATGCCCCCCCACCACAGGTGGCCTGCAGACTTGAGCTCCCCAGTCAATGTTAAGCATGCCCAGATGCTGCCCACTGACATGTATGAACCAGTTGGGGGCAGCTGCCCTTGCCTCCAACAGAGCACCCAGTACTACGATTGCTGGACTGCCATACCTCTACCATAGGGCACCAAACTCCACAGTACCCTGAAATCTACACATGTGAGTTCACACCTGTTTTCGACAAATCTGGGTACATGAAATATTTCTATGGACTATATTCCCAACCAGGGAGAGACCTGACTTTTAAGCCACAGGAAATTAGGGGTTGTGTCCTTTGACCCTCCAGAAAGTTATCAGATGCTTACACACAACAAAAAATAAAGGGAGACTCTTAGATTTGAATCAGAAGTGGGCTGGTAAGTTTGCTACCACATGCCCAGAAAAATACAGAGGTAAAGCTGAGGAGTATGAGTATTAACTAAGCCTCCCAAAACTGGATGGAGTCCAAATCAGGGAAGACTAATAAGAAGTCTCTTGATCTCAAATAGCTCAACATGGAATAACGCTTTAATGTCAGTTATTGATTTGACAGATATTATCTTGTGTATTGATTCGATGGGTCACCTTTATTATTTGAAAGTATATTCCTTAATCCAATTTTATGTATTTATTTTAATGTTTCAAAGCGTTATTTAGAATTATTCTTTCTCACTTTTCCTTCTTGTTCACAAGTATACTCTCAACTTTTGTTTCTCTTTTTTCCCTTATATCACCTCCATTTCTATCGTCCCATTTATTTTTTTTAATTTTCTGCTTTTTTCCTCTTCCTGTTAATGCTCTATATAATTTAATAGTAATTTTACTTTCTTTAATGCTTAATTTTTCAGGATATTCTAAATCATAATTCTCATTTTGCACGTGGAGAAGTTTTAAAAGGGTTACTAGTATGGTTCTCGGTTCTTAAGTGGCCCCAGTTGCTGGTGATTATTACCTCTCAAAATGGAGCAAGAGACGAAATAGAGCAGTGAGATCACATTGAGTGAAAGTGTTGACACTTAGATACTTGCCCAGCCTGGGGCATATAGTAGGACAAAAACAGGTTACTAAAATGTCCCTCATATAACAATAGAAGAAATAATCATCCCAGCAGATGTGCAAATATCAACATAGAAATATAGGTAATATAAAACTACAAAGTAATAAGATACCCCCCAAAGTTTATAACACTTCAATAATTGATGCCATAGACATCAAAGTGGAGGAAATGTTGGATAAACAATTTAAAAAGATGAGTGGTAAAGTGTCTATGGACAGATACCACTGAAACTGTGAGTCCCCAAATAAATTGTTCCTCTTCTGCAATTGTTCTGGTCAGGTCCTTTGGTCACAGTAGTGAAAAACCTGACTAAAACAGAAATTGGTACAAATAATGGGGTTGTTGCTGTGACTAATCTGCCCATATAGTTCATAAGCACTTCGAGCTTTTTGAAATTGATGGGAGGAATTTTGAGATGCTTAGCAGCTGAAAATGCTTTAGATTGTTGTAGAGCTTAATGGCTGATTCTGATAGGAGCTCAGAAGACCAGAATGCCAATAGGACTATGGACAGTGAAGAAAGAGGGTTCAGAGGAAAAGGTGGACAATATTGATAACTGGACTAAAGGCCTTTATGTTATATTATGACTGAGAAGTTGTCTACATTTAGCCCATGTCCTGAAACTTTCTGTGAAGCTAATTTTAAAAGTGATGGACTTTTGGTGGAAGAAATGTTTAGCATAGCATTCAGGTGGTGGCATGGATATTGTGGAAGCTTTTAGCCAAATTCATTGTGATAATAAGGAGCAGAAAGCAGAGCAGAAAGATTTGAAAAACTTGGACTTGAAAGGTGGGAGTAAAACTGGAGCTGAGAAAGTTGCAGTTATTAAAGACTTTATTGTCACTAAAGAAATGTTAAAGGCTTTGCCCAGACACAATGAGAAAGATTGCTTCAGGGCATCTCAGGAGCTGGCAAGACCATACCCATCTCAGACTAAAGGAAGTAAAGGTAAAAAATTCTCTTGAGAAGAGACCAGTGGGGCACTCTTCTTGCACAAGAGGACCTAAAAAGTTTTTTCAACTTGCTCAGCCATCCAGGCAGTTGGAGACTGATGCAGCCAGGGTCCCTGGAGGCTTGGCTACTGCTCAAGATAGTGGCAGACATTGGTGTCAACCACGCGGTGCTGATTCTTCAGGAATGCTGGAATTAGGGGGTTGAGAGGACTTTCACCAAGATTTCAAAGGAAGGCCTGGGAGGCCCAGAAAAGTTCAGCAGGGTTGGAGTCCCTGTGGGAAGCCCCAGAGAGGGCAATGTGTGGAGAGGTAAGGAGGAAGCTGAAGCTGCAGTGGAGACCTCCAAGATTAAGAACTATCAGTAATGTGGGACATCATCCTAGGAAAGCTGCAGGAACTGAGCAGAGAAAGCCAACAGAAAGGCCACTTAGGCTGCAACCAGTAAGGCCACAGGGGTGGAGCTATACAAGTCCTTTTGGAGAGAACATCATGATGCCATATACTCCATATGCAGGACACAGAACTACAGGACTTGTTTTCCCAGCTGGATTTCAGTCTTGCTTTGGTCCCACCTCTTCTTTCTATGACTCTATTTTTTCTGAATGGAAATATTTATTCGGTAACTTTATATATTGGATACTTGTAAATTGCTTTTAAATTTTATAGGAGATCTCAAAATGTGAGATTGCCTTGAGCCTCAAAAAGATTTTAGCTCCTTGATCCACTTTGAGTTAACTTTTGTGCATGGCGAGAGGAGGGGATTCAGTTTCATTTTGTTGCATATGGATTTCCAGTTTTCCCAGCACCATTTGTTGAAGATGCTATCCTCCCTCCATTGCATGCTTTTAGCTCCTTTATCAAATATAAGATAGTTGTAGCTTTGTGGATTAGTCTCTGTGTCCTCTATTCTGTACCATTGGTCCACCCTCCTGTTTTGGTACCAGTACCATGCTGTTTTTGTTA